TATTCAATTTTCGTGTGCATCAAATTCTCTGGTGTAATTGAGTGGATTTGGGTTGGGTGAGAAGGGGGTTTGGATGTGGAAATCTTGATTGAACCTTGCAAACGCTGAAAAGCAGCAAATCAAGTGTTCTGTTCATTCATTCATTAAAAATATATCCTATAGAAACACATGTATGTACAAATAAATTTTGATCAGTATTTGAAATGAAAATCAGTTGAAACAATGACTTTAATAAAACGTAGATTCCGTATACTTGCAAATTCTTGATGCATTGAAAATGTTTGATTAATTATTTTGATTGTACAATATTTACTAATGCATGAATTTTTAAAATGACATCTATATAGAATTTTAAAATCAGTTAGATTATAATAATATTTTATTGCCTTGAGAAAAAAACTCACAATGAAAATTAAATATTTTCCCCATGTTCTAATAAAATTTCATTTCAAATGCATGTTCTTTGAAAAATAAATTCTGTCCCGAAGTTCGATGGATTTTCCCCCTAAATTTCACTCTGATTTTCATCCTACTGGAGATTTTTCAAAAGGGAAATTATTTCTTGGAAATATTGATAGGATATATTTCCTTTACAGAAGTACGGTAGTGAAATTAAATTTTTGTTAGATTGAGTTTTTTTTTCAAGAAATATTTTCAGATCAAAATAAATTCTCCACGTTTTTTTTTACAACGGATTTCAGAATATGAAGATTTGAACAAATAATGCGTTTGAAAAGATTAAATGCTTTCATGCTTGCTTCATTGTAATCTCTCCTCATTTGAATTATTTTTGAACACTGCCTTGATGTAAAAAAAATGTTTTGTATATTTTTAAGTTGTCAAAATTTCAGTACTGAAAGTATATTCGATCAATATTTTTAAGAACGTAATTCTCCTTTTTTTTAAACACTCTAGTAGGATGAAAATTATAGTGGAATTCAGGGGGAAAATTATTCGAGTTTCCTGGAGAGAATTTTTCTTTCAAACCACATGCATTTGAAATGAAATTGCACGAGAATAAGGTAGCGAAAACAATTTTTTTTTCCTTGTGAACTTCTTTGGAAGATGAAAAAAAATTCTGAAACTTCGGGAAGACCCGAATGATTTTTTGCCATTTATTTTTCACGTCTTTTATTCTTTTTACAGCAATTTTTCCTCAAAATATTATGCTTTTGAATCGAAACAAATTTTTCACAACAAAAGCAAGAAATTTTGTTGTTTCGTTTATTTAAAAAAATGTCAACTCGAGCACAAAAACTTTTTAAATACCCATTGTAAGCTTAAGTTAGGAACCTTGAGATTTCGGGGTTGAAACGGAATAAGTAATTGTTGTTTTTTGTCGGTTGATCCACCTCGGATTTCTCCTGCATCGAAGATGAAAGCTTTTTCCTGGAACTCTTTTGTTCCGACTTATCGAGGAAATTTGAAAATATTCGGACAAAGATACACGTGACTTATTGTGGAGTGCTTCTCAAGCAAAGCTATTCCGTTTCTTGTGATTTTTTTATTTGTTCTTCCTTTTCAGTCATTAACTTGAATGAAGAGATGAGAATTCAAGCTTCTTTTTTTTTGCATGATGACTGACCATAAATGTACCTGTTCATGGTGGTCAATTTTCAATGCCTGAAATATTTATTCAATTCCAATTTTTTATGGAGGAACTTTATTGGAAAAGTGGCCTAGGTCAACCGTTCAGAATATTTCACAATATATGATCAGTTTGGCAAAGCCCTGTCAATGAACAACCTTCAAGTGAAGGAAGCCTCTTCTTGTGGAAATTGATCTAAATATTAATTTGGCTATTTTGATGTGGAAACCACCCAAAATGGTTCACTGTTGAGCCTTATTTGCCTTCTCAAACTCTTTCTATCCCAAGGCCACCGCATTTATCCTAACAAGATTTTGATGGGGGGATTTACTGATCCATCCCCCAAGAGAAATATTTGTGGCTATGCCCCTTCCAGTGATTTCAATTCAATTCACCCTTTCCTCCACCCCCTGTAATTTAAAGAACTAGAAGCCCACTAATTCATGGCACTTTAGTAAAAAATTCATCCAACTCTCAAAGGTTTCTAAGTGGTGTAACTCCTGCAGCATAAATACATTAGTTTGTGCATCACATTGTCATTCATTTGTGCTTTGTTTCACGCTTTGAAATGATTGAATATATTTGGGGGAGTTGGGTTGGGTGGGGAGGGGGTTTGGATGCAGGAGTTCTGGTTATCCCTTGTGAACGCTGAAAAGCGGCAAATACAGTTTTCTGTCCTTTCTTCTTTCTTTTCTAGAAGCAACTGATTATCATTATGAAATACCACACCACATGAAATCTCTTGGAATATGAGCTGTGTAACATGAACTTTTACTGGAAAGAAGCTGTGAATCAAAAAGAGCTCTTCTCATGTAGATTAAATGTCTCTGAAGTGATTAAATGTCTTTGAGTGGATTTGGGTTGGGTGGGAAGAGGGTTTGGTTGTGGAAATCTTGATTGAACCTTGTGAACGCTGAAAAGCAACAAATGAAGTGTTCTGTTCATTCATTCATTCATGTGGATTCATCAATTTCTCATGTCAACTGTCATAATGTCTTTGACTTTTTATGCATAAAATTTTTGCTTGTTGCTGGGGAACATATTGTACAGTACAACAATTTTTCTTGGGAAATATTCTTATGAAGTGGCTCTGACCATCACCCAATGGTCCATTGTTGAGCTTGCTTCACCTTCATCCCATTTGCTGCTCTTCTCCAACTCCTTTTCTTCACCCTAGGCCACCACATGTATCCCAATAAGATTAAGGATTTCTATGGGGGGGTTTTTACTGATACCATTCCCAACTGAATTATTGTGGCTATACACATGCCCCAGTGATTTCAATCCAATACCCTTTCCTCAACCCCTCTACTTTTTTTTCCCAGAAGAGTTAGCTGTCTATATATACAGCAGTCCCTGAAGGCATGTGTATAAATGTGTGATGGGGAAAAGTTTAGCAGGAACCTTGTTGTATCCAACACACCCAACACCCACTCACTTGATTGCAGGGAACTTGGTCGCTTTCTGAGCAGCGCTCAATGATGCGCTTGATGAGATCCAGTCTGTGTTGACTCTCAGACACTGCCCTTGGTTGAATATTATTGTTCTTTGTCTGGCTGCTGCTGCTGCTGGGGAGAACTGGGGGATTCTTTTTGGGTGATGAGCTGCTCTTGATGACTGTGGCAAATGTGGGTGATGAAGTGGGGGGCTGCTGCTGCTGCTGCTGCTGGAAGTGATCTGCACTTGCTTGGCTTATTGTGCTGTGGATGCTGTTGATTTCAAAAGGAAAATAAAAATAATGAAATGACACAGAGAGAGAGAGAGAGATTGTTCAGCTTCAAGTCCCAGGTCTGAGGATTTGAGGGCCATTAGGTGCATTGTATGTTGATAACCACTGTGCTGTTACTGTATTTGACATGAGACATGCTGCTCTTTTTCTTTTAGTTATGATGGTGTCTGTATATTAAATATTCATCACAAAATCTCAAATTATTTTTATGAATAATTTCATCCTTTTTTCCAGTTTTCCAGCAAGTGATTCTTGTTCTTTTAATGAAAAATTGAAGCTTGGTAGAGGAACTTATTTATTAGGAAAGATTTTTGAAAGGAATTTTCAAGCTTAAAGTCCCAGGTATGAAGGGTTGAAGGTATTATATCTTGATGAGAACTATGTTGTTACTGTATTTGATTTCAAACTTACTTATCTTTTAGTTTTGAGGTGTCTGTTTATCAAATATGTATCACAAAATCATTTGATTAATTTCATCCTTTTTCCAGAGTTCCAGGAAGTGATTCTTGTTTTTGAATGACAAATGAAAGCTTGGTAGTGGAATGTATTTATTGGAAAACATTTTGAAATTAATTCTTGAAGCTACAAGAAGTCCCTGTAAGGTCTGAGTGCTGGTTATTCTTTTTTTGATAATTCCGATTTGGTTTTTGTATTTGACATGAGGCATATGCTCATTCTTTACTTATGTCTTTACATGCTACAGATTTGAGCAGTGTCACAACATTTTAAAGTATTTTATGATCAACCTTTCAAAATTCCAGCAGATAATCCTTGTTTTTGAATGAAAAATCAAAGCTTGATAGAGGAATCCATTCATTAGGAAACTTGTAAAGAGATGTATTTCTGTAACTGCTATTCAATTGCTGTATTTGACAAAAGACAGACTTTTTTATATATGAGGTGTCCTGTATATAAAATATAGCTGTAACACAAATTTTTGAATAATTTTTTGAAAAACTTATCCTTGTTGCCTGAATTCTGGTAACCTATACGTCTTGGGTTTAAATGAAAAAATTAAGCTGGGCCAACTACAAAAATTTTACTGAGAAAATGACTAAAAATGTAATGCTGCATTCAGTGTTGAACTGGAAAACAATGATGAAAATATTTTTTGTGACATCTGTTACCCATTATTTTTCCGCTGCTGTACTTGGACATTATTTTTTTTTCCAACAGGGGTTAGTTCTCAATTCAGTTTGATTGTATTTTCCTTCAACGCTGAATTTTTCAAACTCAATAAAATCCAGAGATTGAATGCATTCAGCCTATGAGAAGAGAATGTTAATCATAATTTAAGTTATTCCATTATTATCTGTCATCATGCATAGAACAGCTCTTGTGAAAAGGGCAGCAATAATTATTCCTCTAGTCCGCAGCAACTTCATTATTCCCCACCCCAGGTTGTACGAAGAAAAGCCGTCCAATTCCCCCACTTGAATGGATGCCTATATGCGCATTTGTCTCCGTATGCTGGTAAATAGGGCGCGTCTTTTATCCCTGCGAGTTCCTGATGACGAATCCTTCTCTGTCTCTCTCTCTCTATACAAAATGGGTGATGTGATTATACAAGAAGCACCTTTTTTGGAATGAGTGAGGTATATGCTGGGTGTGTCCCGGATGTTGGGAATAAATCCCGACAAGAAAAAGGTTAGGTTTAAAACTTGAAATTTTGCAAAGAGATTTTGAAATAAAACACAAGAATTTGGTCGGGCTACGACCGGGGTGCAAAACACCCTATTTTAAAGTTGGTATATATCAGCAACACAGAAAATCTCGCGAAATCTTCGAGAATTTTCACGCTTGAGTGTTCAATTCGGACTGTGTCAAATAATGTGAACTTGGAGAACAGGAAAACTGTCCTCCAAGGATGAAAAACGGCAACGGAAATTGGTAACAAAATACAGCCTTGAGGGCTGTGGAAGGACATCTGTAATAAATTACAGCCCTGGAGGCTGCTGACCATCTGTGGGAACCAAGGTCTTCCAAGATTTCCACACAGATACTAAATGAAAGACTAAATTCGTCGGGGAATTTGGGTTCTCTTAAGCTAGCGTATCGAATTTAATATACCTGTTGAAATATTTGCGACACCGGATCTAGGAAAAATTAACACAGACAATTTGAGACAGGGCCAAATTCAAACAGATACTTTTTGGAGATAGAAACCTTTTTGAGATGAGGAAAATTTGGGACAGAAACTTTAGGAGACAGGGGCAATTTGAGGCATGGACAAATTGAGAAAAATACATTTTGAGATTTTGAGGCTAAATTACTTGACTGTGTATGTATCCCTATTATCTTATGCTTGAGGTTTGAAGATGAAACAAGAATTGCACTGTTTGGTGAAAAGTCTATGATCCCAGGGTGGTTCTCCTTTTTGTCCATCATCACTGTCAATTAAGTGAGTTTTTCCTTATCAAGGAAAAACTCAATTCTTTGAACCAACCTAAGCAGATTCCTCTCCTCATTGGGATAATTTTTGTCTCAAACTGTCCATGTATCTCAAATTTTCACTGTCTCAAATTGTTCCTGTCTCCAATTGACCTTGGCTCCAATTTACTTTTTCTTCAATTGCCCCTGTCTCAAATTTTCCTCATCTCCAATTGACCCTGTCTCCAATTATGCCCGTCTTAAATTATCCCTGTCTAAATTGTCCCTGTCTCCAAGTGTCCCTGTCTCAACTTTTTCTTGTCTTGAATTCTCCCTGTGTCGAATTTTTCTTGTCTCCAATTGTCCCTGTCTGAATGTTTCCCTGTCTCAAATTGTCTGTTCCCAATTTACCCTGTCTCCAATTGTCCCTTTCTAAAATCGTCCATGTCAAAAATTGTCCATGTCTCAAATGGTCCCTGTCTTAAATTGTCCCTGTCTCAACATTTCCCTGTCTTGAAATGTACCTGTCTTAAATTGACTTTCCACAATTTACCCTGTCTCCAATTGTCCCTGTCTTAAATTGTCCCTGTCTCCAATTGTCCCTTTCTCAAATTGTCCATGTCTCAAATGGTCCCTGTCTCAATGTTTACCTGTTTCAAATTGTCTGTTCCCAATTTACCCTGTCTCCAATTGTCCCTTTCCAAAATTGTCCATGTCTAAAATTGTCCATGTCTCAAATGGTCCCTGTCTTAAATTGTCCCTGTCTCAACATTTCCCTGTCTCAACGTTTCCCTGTCTCAACATTTCCCTGTCTCAACATTTCCCTGTCTCAACATTCCCCTGTCTTTAAATGTCTCAAATTGCCTGTCCACAATTTACCCTGTCTCCAATTGTCCCTATCTCAAATTGTCCCTGTCTCGTATTGTCCCTGTCTCAAATTTTTCCTGTCTCAACTTTTCCCTGTCTTTAATTTTCAACTTTTCCCTGTCTTGAATTTTCCCCATCTTCAATTGTCCATGTCTCAAATTGTTCCTGTCTCAACTTTTCCCTGTCTCCAATTGTCTCTGTCTCCAATTTTCCCTGTCTCAAACTGTCCCTGTCTGACATTGCCCCTGTCTCCATTTGTCCAGTCTTAAAATTGCGTGTCTCAATTTGTCCCTATCCCATGTGTCTCATTTATAAGAAGCGCATAAAAAACCATGTGCACCTGAAAACCTTGCGGGCTGAATGAGATACCCCAGGAACGCCCTTCATTCTTTCTGGTGCTGCTGTGTACAATATTTGCCCCAAGTGTTTCCGCGAATTGCGCGCGAAAGCCTATACACTGCACTGTATAAATATTCCGTATACAGTGAATAAGGCCGAGGAAATTGGTGAAACCCGTCTTGTGGGGAAAACCTTATTGTTTTGTTTACCTCGAAAGCTTGCTGCTTCACATAATGTGCGTCACTGGCAATATAGTAGTATATTATCCTGAGCCGTGCATGCATCTCAATCGACGCTGTTGCTGATGGTGCTGTTTTCTCCGAAAATAACTGTTTTATGTGTATTTGTGTGTGTGTGTGTGTGTGTGTGCCCCGATTGTTTGGATAAAAGCGAGGATACAGTTATACGGGGTATATATTTGTGCTTATATAATAATGGAGGACTGCGCATTTGCAGTTATTGTGACTCTGCAGGTTCACTGTGCATGTACGAGGGTTCTAACAAAAGTTCTGGGAGTAGGAATGAAAATGGCATACAATTGAGCTGAAAAAAATTTATTATCTAGCAAAAACATATTCTTTGGCACAGAAAAAAAATCAGCCCGGTTTGACAATTTTTTTTTTTTAATTTTTGCAAAATTCATCCATGTAGAGTTTTGCTCTCCACTCAAAAAATGGAGGCGCCCTTTTTTTTTGTAGCCCCGCTTTCCCCTCAGAATTTTTAAAATCAACTCGACATTCTTTCTAAGGGTTGCCTCCAGGTATCAAGGCAATTCCGCCATTTTCATCAACAGCCGCCTTCTGATTTTTTTTCTGTGCCAAAGAATATGTTTTCGCTAGAGAATAAATTTTTTTCAGCTCAATTGTATGCCATTTTCATTGCTACTCCGAGAAATTTTGTTAGAACCCTCGTATGTGATAAATGGAGCAGTGGGGTCTTGTTTTAAGAACTTGATCCATTCCTCACCAAACAGTTTGTTGAATAAATCACATTTTCCCTGAAGAAATTACAAGGATAATGTTGAATGGTTCTACAACCTTGAAAGTGTGCTTGAAAATCCATGAAAATTTTTCCTATAATTTTTACTGAACCTAAAAGTCAAGACTTTTTTTTAAATAGAAGAGAAGCTGAAAGGAGTTTTGATGAAGACAGGGATCTAAGAAGAGAGGACCTAACAGAGAGGAAGGGTGGAGTCAAAACTGTCTGTGCTGAAATGAATCAAGTAAATTTATTCAGACCTCTTATATGCTATCCTTTCACACAGTTGATTCACTCTGCACTTTTGAGCAACCTGTGTCTGTGAACAGAATCAAAAATATGAAGAACAAGTGTACAGCTAGTCCCATCTTCAGGTGAAGAATGAATGAAAATCACATTTAAAATGGGAACCCTGTCATGAGAGAAAAGAAAATTAAGATAACTATCAAGAAAGAAATTTCAAAATAAATAAATAAATTGAAATAAAATTAAAATCACTCAAGAATCAAGTTTTTATATTGTTTTGTCTTGTTTGGTCACAACAAATTAAAAACTGCAATCACTGAAAAAATGTTTAAATATCCTAAGATTTATTGAAAAGATCATCCATTTAAAACAACAAGAAATTTTCCAATTTTTTTTAGCTTGGTTGACAAATTGTTTGCCTTTTGTTACATGGGTGGAAAACTCAGGCAGGAACTGGAAAGTTTTCATGTATCATCCTGCAGTAAATTCAACTTTCTATCTGAAAAAAGTATCCCAGAACCTTAGGACATCACAGGCTGAATTATTAAGTTATATTTACGAAGTCATTTACTCTAGAAATATAGACAAGTGTGATAACTATTGTATTTCTGGGGTGAGGATCATATTCATGTTGATGGCTTTCCAAAATATTGCTATAGAACAAAATTTTGTACAGTACACTATAACAAACTCATGGGGACTTCAGAAACAGTTTTTTTGTAACAAATAATTTGTTATAGCAATATTTTCAAAATTATTGTCTGGGAAGATTCTTGTAAATTAAATCCTGCATATATTCAAAAATCTTTCTTATTGTGGCTTTTTCAGATTTTTTCAATATATCAACAACTTTGAGCTTCAAGAAGAAATTCAAATATCAATAAGAAGCACTTAGTCTACATAATAGAGGTAAACACTATACTGTACCAGATTTGTGGACTTCAAGTTTTTGTAAGACATTCTTGTACAGATCAGTAAGGATGTATGTTACAAAAATAGTTGACAGTTATTAAGCATCATTTTGTAGGGGTTCTGAAGCATTCAACTCTCTCTTTAACATGAGTTTTGCTGGGTTAATTTCTTTTAGCATCATGCATTGATGAATTATATTTCTAAATTCCTAATGAAGACACAATTTTTTTGCTTTTTCAAAACAGATGCATGGAGGGGAGAAAGAAAGACTTAGACTTGAAAAAGGACCTCTGTTGACAAGAGCTGAAGACTGCTTCAGATGACTGCCTGGCATGCAGGGCTGCCTTGAGGCTCTGGCTCAGCTTTTGTCTGACCTCAACCATTCTGTCACTGAGATCTTCTTGTAGTCCCTGGCATGGGATAAATCGCCTGTGGCGGGGTCCAGTGCTGCTGCAGATTGCCCTGGTCTTGTTGGTGATGGCCTCCAGGGATTTCCTCTTGGGAGTGCCACCAACAACCTGCTCATGATGCATCAGGTGCTGGTGACTGCTGCTGATGTTGCTTGTGCTGCTGGATGCTGGTGAACTGTGAGTAGAATCTGCATTCTGTCCAAACATGGATGAACAAAACTGGAAAGTATTACAGAGAAAAATGTGAGAAAATTCTAGTCCTATTATCAACTACAACGTACAAACACTTTCCAAAAGCCCCTTTCAGCTAATGTATTTCTGCTATGCTTGGTTGCGCCTGGTGTGCTAGCAATTATATTTCACAATCCTGTTGTCAACCAAATACTTTCTGGACTGTGCTCATGCTTCCTTCCTTTAACCCTTGTGTGGCAAAGTTGGGATATATTTGCAAAATTGTAGTCATATTATGAACTACAATGTACAAACACTTTCCAAAAGCCCCTTTCAGCTAATGTATTTCTGCTATGCTTGGTTGCGCCTGGTGTGCTAGCACTTATATTTCACAATCCTGTTGTCAACCAAATACTTACTGGACTGTGCTCATGCTTCCTTCCTTTAACCCTTGTGTGGCAAAGTTGGAATATATTTGCGAAATTTTGTGTCACTGAGAACTGGGAATTTAAAAAATGCAACTTTTGAACACAGGCCTAAGTTGGGAAAAAGTCAAACATTTTTTTCTAATCCAGCAGAAAATTTTGGATTAAAAATTAAAAAATCTCTCACTGGGTGGCATTTTTTTCCTGCATTTCTGGCATAGGATCAGCATGGAAGATTCCTGAAAACAAAAGAGAATTTGTATCCCAGATTTTTCCCAACTTATATAGGCCTTCTCAACCTGGGAGCATTTAAGCAACCTTGGGTCATACTGAAATGCTCCACCCCCCAAGAATATCCCAACTTTGCCGCACAATGGGAATGAACCCTCTGCTGTCCGCGGGTTAAAGCAACAAAGTATGATGCTCCCAATCCAAATTGGTTGCTATGCACATTCCTTGACCTTGGCTGACCAAAGCTATATATACAGGTGCATTTTATGTTGAGTTAAGTTTACCAAACCCAGACTCTGAACAAACACCTTTTTGTTGTCACTGCCTCTGCAATGCTTGTTTTATTTTTACTGTGAGAAAAAAAGATAATAAATTGCACTGATAGTTCTCTTGCAGAGTAACTTTTGCATTTCCTTCAAAAGTTGCAGAAAATGATTTAAATCTCCAATCCATTGTCAATATGAACAGCAATTAAATTAACAACCATTTTTGATCATCACAGTCTTTTATTTGCTATATACCGTATTCACTCGAGTACCACGTGCACCTTTTTTCTCAAATTTCAAAAGGAACAAAAGGGGTGTGTGTCATTAGCAGGTACAAATATTTCACAAAGTTTAAGGAAATTATGTGTGCATTATACTCAATTATAATGAATAAATTTGGAACAAATGAAAAAATAAAATATTTTGTACTGCTGGAAAAGCTGAAAATTGATCAAGATTTTTGTTCAATTTATGCCTGAAGTCAAATTTTGTTTTAATTTTCAAAATGTTGTGGTCTTAGATGCACTAAAAATTGGGGTGCGTGTCTTTCTTGGGGATAATTTTTTAGCAAAATTTCCAACTGAAAAACTCCTGTGCGCACTTTACTCAAGGGCGCTAGGTACTCAAGTAAATATGGTACTTATATTGAGGATAAAATTGAAGGACTAACTTGGGTTCATATATAGAGCAAAGAGGATTTTCATTGAGACAAAGACAATATGATGTACTTAGTAAGACCCAAAGATGTGGACATAATTGGTGCATCAAGAGTGTCTCCATGACAAAATTTCCTTAGTTGAGTCTGTGCTAAAAAAAACAACAAAATCTGCACCAAGGGCGCCTCATTTTTTGAGTGGAGAACAAAACTCTGCCAGGGTGACTTTTGCAAAACATTAAAAAAAAAAGATTTGTCAAACAGGACAGATTTTTTTTTTCTTGTGCCAAAGAATATGTTTTCCCTGAAGAAATAATTTTATTTCCAGCTCAATTATATCCGCCATTTTTAATTTCTATTCCGAGAACTTTTGTTAGAACCCTCGTCGTATCACATTTGCATATGGTTCGGTGATCTGTCTGACTATATATAATTATAATACCAGAAAGTGAATAAGTGAGGAATTTGTCTTACGTCGTCATCATCCAGGGCCAGCACTGATGCTGCGGAGTTCGGGTCCATCATCAGCGACTCGTCGGCGTCTTCCAGCATCTCCAAGACTTCTTTCGAGTCTGTTTTATTCAGCAGAGTTTCATCCGAGCTCTCATCTGGATGAGGAAGGGCGTCTCGGAAGCCCCAGGATCCGGTCGAATCTTCGAGGAAGTCTATTTCCGGATTCTTCTGCTGTGGAATAAGTAAATGGTTTGTATGTACTGTATGTATATAGTGTGGAGCTGGTGCTGTTGCTGCTGGGGGTTCAGAGTGAACGAAGTCCGATACGACGACGAGGGAAAAAAGGAAGGATGCGGGATTTTTTTTTCGAATTTATTTCGAAAAGTCTCGTTCATTTTTTTTGGGGGGGGGGGGGGTAAGCGTGGCGCAGAATGATATGGGTTCGATAGCGCTTAATTTATTGGAACGCACAAATAAGATAATTTTTCTTTTCTTTCTCAAAATTGTAGACTATATAGTTTGACGAGAAAAATTTATTCAAATCGAGGGTTCGTTTAATATAGTCGTATATACAGCCTCGACGTATGCGGCTGATGCGACGTTGATTGGGGTCACGTGATAAAATAAAATAAAAAATCTGGACAGTATAGTGTCTCGACATGTGGACAAATTGCTGGCTTACATTCATATATTTAAAAAAAAAAGCGAGTGAACAATTTTTAATTTTCAAATTTTGATATTATTTGAACAAATTTAGCTACTATGTACAGTACTTCTATATGATCAAAAATGCAAAAGATTATAAATTAAAATAACGTATCTAATTTAAATACATGCAAATGCATTCCTTCTTTTACTTTCATGCAAACACCTGCGATTAATTACCGTTCAATCTTGAAATAAGTTACTCCCAGTGTAAAGTATTTGGAAAGATTTTATGTGAAGAATGATGGCACAGTATTTTAGAAATCAAAGTTGATTCTGTAAGTGTTGCCCCCTAAATCAAACTTGACTCATTCAAGTGTCTCAGGAAATAATGTTGATAATAATGACAATGCTGTTTAATAGTATTTTATTTCATTTTACTGCTTCTCCTGATATTGTATGTATGCTTGACAACATGATTGAGGAAGCTTCATCAAGGGCAATACTAAACCATTACTATTTGCATCATCTAACATCCCCTTAATATATGATACTGTAGCTATTTTGACAAATTTATTGTACTTTGATAAAAAAAATTCATCCAATTTTCAAAAGTGTCTAAGTGGTGTAACACCAGCAGCATAAATACATTAATTTGCGCATCACCAGAGCATTTTCTTTTCTTTTGTCCAACAGTTGGACAAAAGAAAAGAAAATGCTCTGGTGATGCGCAAATTAATGTATTTATGCTGCTGGTGTTACACCACTTAGACACTTTTGAAAATTGGATGAATTTTTTTTATCAAAGTACAATAAATTTGTGCTCTGTTTCCTGCTCTGAAGTGATTAAATTTCATTGAGTGAATTTGGGTTGGGTGGGAAGGGGGTATGGTTGTGGGAATCTTGATTGAACCCTGTGAATGCTGAAAAGCAGCAAATAAAGTGTTCTGTTCATTCATTCATTCAGAAAATTAAACGATCAAGACCCTTCATTTTCCATGACGCCTACAGCAGCAGACCCAAAATTAGAACCTTGGGTTACAAACTGATTGAATTCGGAATTGCAGAATCATGGTGTAGGGAATAAAATGGAGTGACTGGAATCCCGGAACGATGAAGATATCGCGTGCAATGTGCATTATTATTGTCACCTGATGGCCGTCTCTTATTCTGGATGCATCATCGTCAGGAATATCTTCAGGGTTGCCCGAGGGGTCGTCCCGACGAAAGTGCTGATGGTGATTGGAATCTGTGCACTCGCAAGAAGACGACGAACCCAAGAGCAGAAGTGAGGTCATGTCACTCATCGACCCCCGTGTTGCTGCGTGAGAGGTGGTGATGATCACGTGTTCATCATCAGAAGCTGTGAGGATGGCGTCGTCATCATCGTCATCATCAAGACATGTTATTGGGAGGTCCTTGAGCTGTTGTTGACCTGACATGGCGGACGCGAAAATGGTTTCCGAGGAAGGGATGATGTCCCTGTTGCGCAGAAACAGTGTACGGTATGTATATGAAAGGTTTTTAAAAGTCAAACTTCAATAAGGGATGAGCACTATATTTTTTTCTTTCATTTTTGAGGTTTTATGAGTTACAGTGAGACCCCAAGATCCGGACTTGATTGGTGCATCAAGAGTGTCCTTAATTCGAGTCTCATTTTCCCTTGGACTTACATTATATAATTTTTAATTGGTGTTTTATGGACATAATACTCACCATAATTCCATGAAAATTAAAATTGTCTCCGAATTTAAACTGATTCCAATCAATATATTTCAACGCAATATGGACATTTGGGGAATTGAACACTGATACATCTGTACAGTACATAGAAATGTAGGCATTCTCTGTAAAAATAACATTCAAGTTAAAAAGAGAAAACAAAGTCCCTCTATGCTGGAGGTAATTTTTTTTAATTAGCTAAATGGATGGTAAATTGGTGAGAGAAATGCCCAAGAACTTTTCTACTTACATCAATTTTAGGGTTGGAAATATCTGTTTCTTGAAATTTGACCAGAAACGTATTTGCAATTTTATCACAAAATGTCCCTATGTTGAGTCAGTGTCTTCATGTTGGGCCTTTTTTTATTAAATTTTATGGGAAAATAAGTGTCCCTATGTCAAATTGCCTGCATGTTGGGGTCTGATTGTGTAAGGGGAATAAGCATTTGTGTTAATGGAGTGACATCAAATATTTTCTATCATTCCTTCTTGCTAGCAGATGATGCACAAGGCAGTAAAATGTTTCCTACTTTTGCATTCCCAATAAAGTGCTGCCATGCCAAGTCATGAACTGTCAAATTATGTAACTTGGCCTGAAACTATGTCAGATCATCTGGGTCAGCCTTGCTCAATATCTCAGACCACAATGTCTATAAAGTCATCTGTCTCTCTCTATTCTCATGCTCATTGCTACCCTGATGCTTGTTGGTTAAATGTACGTTACTTGTTGTTGCACAGCATACTTTTGAAGTACAAAAAGAACACTTGCATGCTTTTATAGAATTCTCAAGGTGTCTTCATTGAATGACCCAGCAAAGAGGAATAGAAATCTCCTCAGTTAAAAGTTATCAGACCTAAATTAAAAATACATCACAATGATGAATATTCAAGTGTATTAAGACATGAGAGACATCCAGAGAACTTTATGTTTTCTCAACATCAATTGAAGTCTTATAACAGAAGTAAAAAAAAGAATTACAGTACAGTAGGGAATCATAATTGGTGATTTTCTTCGTCTTGAAGGGATTCTTGAATGAGTTGACATGTGCTGAACTTGAATGCCAAAGTTATATTCATTTGCTCAATTAGTCTTTCTACTCCTTTTCAAAACACATCAAGTTGCATTTTTATTGCCTCAAGACCTTGAGAAAATTTGAGGAATGGATATTTGTTTGGGAAAACCTATCAGTTAGGGAGGTTTTTAATGCATTGTTTCTAAGGGACTTCATAGGCATGGACTTGATGTCAGGAATAAGAATTAATCAGATAGATTTCTATAATAAAATATCACACTCAGCCGGGCTGCGGTTGGGGTGAATAACACCCTAGTTTAAAGTTGTTATACAGTATTTCACTGAAATTCAAAAGTCCAAGATTTCCACAATTTAGCAAAATGCACAACACCCAATGTTGCTTGCTGTACAGCAGTCATGACCAGAATGATCAATACTGTACTAATAAATTCATTTAACAGGAAAACTTTGTAGAAGGTTGGTCACAGATGACCTCTCATTGATATGAAATTATTGGGAAGAAAAAAATAGGAGAGATTTGACCTTGGAGGTAAGAGAGGAATTTCTCCTTGAGGAGAAGGCTATGAGAGATTTGGTGGCCTTGGGTTCTCACAGGTTTTTACTGAAGGATGCATCCTTAATTTTGCAAGAGTTTCCGGGATTTGCCCGTCTTGAACTTTTTTTGCAACACTTGAAATATTTTGAAATAATGCAGTTGATTTGACTTATGGAGGGTTGAGTCATCAAGGTTGAACTGTATATACAGCACTTAATTTATAATTAGAATTTTGTAGCACTTGTGAAATTCTAAATAAATTGGCACAGTAAAATACCAGGTCTTTCAAGTTATTACCATTTCTGCTTAAAGAAGTGAAATCTCATTACAGGGACCTCCCAGCAGAGACTCCTAAAAAATGCATCAGCTAAAATTGCAACAACAAAAAAACCCTGGCTGTTGTAATTTCAGGATTCAAAGCTTCACTTTTGTGATGGGGAAACCCAATAGTCTGGGATTTTATACTGTATAGTAGAGCAGTACTCTAGGTTTAGCTCATCCTTTCAGCCTAATGGGATGTTTTGTACTGGGTAAAATTCAATTTCAATTACAGTGATGCGTTTTTTGTATTCTCTTCAGGATCAAGTTTATATATATACTCCTGCTGCTGCTGGACACTATATATTATAGAACGTGTTGAGGACAGACACGCAGGGAGTGTCACACTCAGCAGCAGCTCATTGTTGGTGACGTCAACCCGTGACCTATAGAAGAACACCTAACCATGATATACTATTGTTATTGTGGTTGAGCTATTGCTGGAAAAAAAAGTATTCGTCCTTGATGAACCTTTGAGAGGTAATCCAATTTTTTTGCAATTTTTATTGAAACAATTGTGGCAGTTGTAAAAGTGGATTGTGTGAAGGTTTCTTGAGAATCATTTTTTTTTTCTGCATGCATTATTGATGTCTATAATCAGTCTAAAATTGTGTAAAACTTGTGTTTCAGTTATATTAACCTTTTTTTCAGGAAGTGTGGCACCTGCATCTGATGTGGGTGTTTCTTGAAATGATTTGCTCCTGTTTTTGCTTCTGTAGGATTTTGTGATTGTTTCTTGAGAATAATTCTTTCTACATGCAATATATGATGTCTGATCAGTCTACAATTTTCTAAAAAAAAAATGTTTCATTTATATTCTCCATTTTGTTCAGGAAGTATGGGACCTGAAACTGATGTGGGTGTTTCTTGAAATCATTTACTCTTTTTTTCTGTGCATCTGTGACACTACAGTATATCTATTTATATGATGTATAGACAAAAAGGGTCCATTTATTGTGGTAGCTGAAAGAGACCGCTTATACTTGCACCAATATTTGTTTCTGTTAAAGGGATTTCTTCCAATAAAATTCATTTAGATTTTTCAGGGCATATGTAGAAGCACTGTGGACTAATTCTCAGATTATTGGCACAATCTGAGGCAAATACTACATTCTTGTGTTTTTACAATTTTTGGCCAACATTTTTTT